AAATTGACCATTGATATTAATCTTTTCACCTTATATAGGGAATGTGTACCTTCATAAAAAAAAATCACAGAAGATTAGAAGTACTAATACTTTCGTGGTTAAATATTGAATCGTAAGGAATTAATTTCTTAATCTTTTAGGCTTAATATTAACCTACCTAAGCATAAGATTAAAATGGGTGGAAATATTGAACGAAAAATAAAAATTAGTATGTATAAAGCAGTACTACAGATGTCATTCATCCATATTATTCGATACTAAATTAATAAATCTAATGGTGATACTTTAATTAATCATCATAAATCACGTAACTCACTTTGATCAAAGTCGTAATGAATAATCATTTCAATTGATTAAATATAAAATAAAGAAAAAGATATTATTCTTTAAAGAAATTAAAAAAAATGTATAATTTCATAAAAGTGAAATGTTTCATTTCCCAATATTGCGTCAAGAGAACTTTAACCAAATATATTATTTTTTATTTTTCATTGGAATTTTAAAGCATTTTTCGGCCCCCCACATGGGCTAACCCAGCCCATATGAAGGCTTCACAGGCCCAACCCTTATTAAATCCCCAAATCCGGAATCAAACGCAGAGAGTAACTGGAGTTAGGGTTTAACTTGGAATTGCTTTGGATTGATTCTCTTCTCTCTCACGCAAAGGAAGGAAAACGAACTCAGAATCCATGGCGACAACAATGACGAAACGAAAACCAGTGTTTGTGAAGGTGGATCAACTACAACCTGGCACCAACGGCCACACGCTGACGGTGAAGGTGGTGAGCTCTAAGCCGGTGAAGACGGTGAGCAACCGCGGTGGCCGATCATCGGTGCTAACGGCGCGACCGTCGCGCATCGCCGAGTGCCTCGTTGGCGACGAAACCGGAACCATAATCTTCACTGCTCGCAACGAACAGGGTACGATTATGTTTGGATTTGTAAGATGGTGTTTGTTTTATGTGTCTTCTAAACCGTCTCGTTGTGTGGTGGTTTATGTTTGAATTTCAGTGTGTTTGATGTTTTGAATTTAAAGAGTTGAAGGCAATGCTTTAAAGTTGTTGACTTTTTTACAGTACTGTGTCCTTTCAATTCCAAGCTTTTGGGGCGTCAAGATTTAGGGTTTTAATAATGCTTTTCTCCGTTCTACGTGCGAGTAATCACGCCCGTGTTTAAAACTTTTTTTTTTTTTTGGGTTTAAATTAAATTTTTATTTTTAGTGACTGTGCAAAATTTTTCATGTTCAGTGTCGTTTTAATTGGATTAATTTGAAATCCGTTGATTTGGTGTGGTTTGAGGTGGTATCTCAAGTTGGATCATGGAAGCCTGTGTGGGTTGTGCGTTAAAAGATATCGATGGTATTAGTGCATCCATGTATTGTGGAATAATGCGCCCAGTCTTGGTTGCATTGCAGTTGCTCAAAAAATCTCAACTTTATCGCTGAGTTTGTTGTCGTTTACCATTTTTTAATACTTTTTCTAAGGTTTAAGTTGTTTATCTTTGATCTTGTTGGAAGTGAGTTTGTGATGTAACTAGTTGAACATAGTTTGAGAGTTTTTAAGTGAAATCCAAACACATTGATAATGTTTGTTTTGTAGTAGTACTCGTTATCTTTTCTTTCCCACGAAAATGTTTTTACATGTATATTCTGTTCGAACATCTTTAGTCTTTCATGTGTAAATGTTGCTATTCTTGCTATTTTTGGAGTGAGTTATTAGTATGGTTTGCTTATATGATTGTCAATGCATGTACTTTTCTGCAGTGGACCTCATGAATGCTGGTGCTACTTTAACTCTGCGTAATGCAAAGATTNTTTGAATTTCAGTGTGTTTGATGTTTTGAATTTAAAGAGTTGAAGGCAATGCTTTAAAGTTGTTGACTTTTTTACAGTACTGTGTCCTTTCAATTCCAAGCTTTTGGGGCGTCAAGATTTAGGGTTTTAATAATGCTTTTCTCCGTTCTACGTGCGAGTAATCACGCCCGTGTTTAAAACTTTTTTTTTTTTTTGGGTTTAAATTAAATTTTTATTTTTAGTGACTGTGCAAAATTTTTCATGTTCAGTGTCGTTTTAATTGGATTAATTTGAAATCCGTTGATTTGGTGTGGTTTGAGGTGGTATCTCAAGTTGGATCATGGAAGCCTGTTTCCCTGTCTGTGTGGGTTGTGCGTTAAAAGATATCGATGGTATTAGTGCATCCATGTATTGTGGAATAATGCGCCCAGTCTTGGTTGCATTGCAGTTGCTCAAAAAATCTCAACTTTATCGCTGAGTTTGTTGTCGTTTACCATTTTTTAATACTTTTTTTAAGGTTTAAGTTGTTTATCTTTGATCTTGTTGGAAGTGAGTTTGTGATGTAACTAGTTGAACATAGTTTGAGAGTTTTTAAGTGAAATCCAAACACATTGATAATGTTTGTTTTGTAGTAGTACTCGTTATCTTTTCTTTCCCACGAAAATGTTTTTACATGTATATTCTGTTCGAACATCTTTAGTCTTTCATGTGTAAATGTTGCTATTCTTGCTATTTTTGGAGTGAGTTATTAGTATGGTTTGCTTATATGATTGTCAATGCATGTACTTTTCTGCAGTGGACCTCATGAATGCTGGTGCTACTTTAACTCTGCGTAATGCAAAGATTGACATGTTCAAGGGATCTATGAGGCTTGCAGTTGATAGATGGGGGCGTATTGAAGCCACAGAACCTGCAGATTTTGAAGTTAAAGAGGATAACAATCTTTCTTTAGTTGAATATGAATTAGTTAATGTTGTTGAAGAGTGATTTTATCTTCATGGTGAATCTTTGGGTTTACCAAAGGTTTTAATTTTTATTTTGATCATTGAACAATTGACTGCGTTGCAGTTTTCTTATGGTACAGTCTTGTTTATTTAGTCTTAAGATTGCTGTGCTGAATTCAAGGAATTATATTTCAGGTCAGTTTTGAAAAGTGATAATGCTTATGCTTAAATGCAAAAGTAAATATATTTGTTTCTCCAAGTTAATAATGTATCCCGTTTTCCTTGAACAAAAGATTTGCGTTGGCATTATTTCTAATCCCTTTGTTACCCGTACGGTTCCGTCAAACCTTTTTGTGTTTAGCAATGGATGACTATATTGATTCAAATGCCATTTTGGTTTTTGACGTAATAAACTTGTGCATTGGTGCTGTTGACGTTGAATTCGGAAATGATTTCTTTGAATGTTTGAGAGGTAGAGTATATATCCATAAGGATTCATTTAATTACCTTTGCTAAATAGAGACCATTTCTTTAAATTAAATTTGACACCTTAATTGTCAAAGACCAATGTTTCTGCCGAATTGGTCTATGGTTCAACTTCAAAACCGAATTAGATCAATGGTCTAACAATTAACTGATCAGTGTTTAATTGGGTTTATTTTCAAAACTAAATTAGTACATGAGTTGAGTTCTTTAGTTATAGTTTAGTTTCAAAGCTAAACTTACGGGGAGTCCTACTTTATTATTTGCTGCTTTATTAAATGCTAAATTTTAAGGTCCCAACCTGTTAATTTAAATTTAATTTTCGATCCAACTTTTAACATCATAAATTCAACTTGTGACCTTTACAAACTTAACGTCGATAAATCGGTAGAGTTGGAACGCTAAAATCCATACTGTGAATTTTGGGAATTTGGTTTGATAACACAGATATGCAACACAATGAGAACTTCAAAAGAATAAATGAAGCTACAGATGGAAGTTCAAGCATCCAACGCACAAATTCTTTAGTGACNGAGTTCTTTAGTTATAGTTTAGTTTCAAAGCTAAACTTACGGGGAGTCCTACTTTATTATTTGCTGCTTTATTAAATGCTAAATTTTAAGGTCCCAACCTGTTAATTTAAATTTAATTTTCGATCCAACTTTTAACATCATAAATTCAACTTGTGACCTTTACAAACTTAACGTCGATAAATCGGTAGAGTTGGAACGCTAAAATCCATACTGTGAATTTTGGGAATTTGGTTTGATAACACAGATATGCAACACAATGAGAACTTCAAAAGAATAAATGAAGCTACAGATGGAAGTTCAAGCATCCAACGCACAAATTCTTTAGTGACTACAAAAACAGTCCAACTTTGACACGTACAAATGTAAATTTTGAGCATAATCTGTATTGCATTCTGTGGTTATCACATCATGACCCCTCTCCTTCTGAAAGTTAAAAAATATAAAGTAAATGAGAAAACAAAACATCACCGACCACTTCTAAGTACATAGGATACTACTCAAGACGACAAAAAAGTACACAAGTCCAAAAATGTGAGTGATTTTCTATAGGGCACATTATATTTTATTAGGAATGATATGTAACTGATAGACAGAAAGCATGTATGTCACAAGCGAAGCACGGACATATAGAACTTTCCCCTCATACTAAAATTAGGTATTAGTTGATTCAATAAGAAATTTTCAAATAATGAAGACAAACATGAAAAAACTTAATCCAACATGTATCAATACAATATCAACTTATTTGCCTTTAGACTCAACATCCAAGTGAATAAAATGGCAGCCTTTCCTACATCTGAACCAGAAAGAACAGAAGTGAAGGTGATCTAGGTTTTTAAAGTTCCTTTCAGCCTTTGGGACTCAAATTGTGTCCCTCCAAAGGCTCAGTCAAAACAGTCTCACGAACCAGATTTGTACATAAAAGATTGCTTCAATCTTCAGAACATTTATCACACATCATCATTGCAATCTGATTAAACAGAAGAGATCAGTATGCACCTCCACTATCAATTGACGCTTTAAAGTATGATGTGAAATAAAATTGCACCAATTATGGTTTTCAATGACAAAATTTCAGCAGCAGATCCCGCAAAAGAAACAGTATATAATATTTCAAACAATTAAAGATAAAAGGTACCTAAAACAAACTATATTCTAGAGAAACCCTCACAAAAAAGTTGAATGGTATTTATCTTTTTTTTTAATGTATGAGAAAGCTAATATAGTTTTATATAAACTTGGAACCTACAAAAATTATGCCAACCAGGCAATGCTACGCAATGTGCATGAACTTTGAACAATATGATTCACAAACAGGAGACAAATATTATTTTCTAGAACACAGTAAACTAAAAATCCAGCTTCATGACATTCATCATGTCAACTTTAAAGAATCCAAGGGCAACATGTTTTTTTTTTGGGACAGAAATCTAGCAGTTCTTCCTAATAAGATTTTTTTTTGTTTAAAGCCCAACATCAAAAGAGATCCATGTCATCCCAACCCTGCTTCTTGATCTTCAAATAGTCTTCTCTTGGCCTACAAACAAAAGGAGTACGTACGGCTTCACTAAACGATTTAGTTGCAGTGGGGAAAGTAGAAGATTCAGGGAATAACTTTTCCATCAATCTTAGGTACACAGGACTAATATTTACATAATGATAAGATCAAACATCATGTAGATAGATGGACCGCCTTTTTCTATTAATATGAAGAATTATATGCCATACGTTTTTTCAAAGCATTACACATAAAATCTGACAAAACTACCTTTTTTTAACCCAAAAACTGAAAAGAAACACTAACTTACCCGTAAATTAAATTGAAGAAAGAACACAAGGNCTTTCAGCAGCAGATCCCGCAAAAGAAACAGTATATAATATTTCAAACAATTAAAGATAAAAGGTACCTAAAACAAACTATATTCTAGAGAAACCCTCACAAAAAAGTTGAATGGTATTTATCTTTTTTTTTAATGTATGAGAAAGCTAATATAGTTTTATATAAACTTGGAACCTACAAAAATTATGCCAACCAGGCAATGCTACGCAATGTGCATGAACTTTGAACAATATGATTCACAAACAGGAGACAAATATTATTTTCTAGAACACAGTAAACTAAAAATCCAGCTTCATGACATTCATCATGTCAACTTTAAAGAATCCAAGGGCAACATGTTTTTTTTTTTGGGACAGAAATCTAGCAGTTCTTCCTAATAAGATTTTTTTTTGTTTAAAGCCCAACATCAAAAGAGATCCATGTCATCCCAACCCTGCTTCTTGATCTTCAAATAGTCTTCTCTTGGCCTACAAACAAAAGGAGTACGTACGGCTTCACTAAACGATTTAGTTGCAGTGGGGAAAGTAGAAGATTCAGGGAATAACTTTTCCATCAATCTTAGGTACACAGGACTAATATTTACATAATGATAAGATCAAACATCATGTAGATAGATGGACCGCCTTTTTCTATTAATATGAAGAATTATATGCCATACGTTTTTTCAAAGCATTACACATAAAATCTGACAAAACTACCTTTTTTTAACCCAAAAACTGAAAAGAAACACTAACTTACCCGTAAATTAAATTGAAGAAAGAACACAAGGAATCCTACAGATGTTTAGCTACCTAATTCAAAAGTAAAATCCAACTGTCAGGCAATTAAAATGATCACAGACTTGGCGACCCAAAGTGTGGAAGCACATAACATACTACTCTCCGCAGTCCCAATAAATTTTTCTAAACATGAGCTGTAAACGTCCCCCCTCTCCTCTAACAAGAACACTTGGTAAACTCTCATATCAAAGCCAACCGACAGGAGAAAAAGAAAATAGTTTTGAACATTAAGAATGCTAAACAGATCATATAATGCTGCACACAGAAATCTTCAAAAACATTTCCACTTACCAATACCATTAAGTAAACAAATGCAAATAAACTTAATCTTTCATTCCAAAATGATTCATTACAATGCAGTAGAAGCAGAGACTATACCTTCAGGAAGCCAACCGTAGCTGCGACGAGACACAGAGAGCATTGAAGTCATCAAAGCGGAAGCAGTTGCCATGTGGTACGGCAGCATGGATTCCACACAAAAGCTCAATTCAACGGGAAACCTTCTCCCACAAAATCACATCGATTCATTATTTCATTTCCAGCATTAACATATCAAACCAAATAACAAAAAATTCATCACTGATACGCACAAAAGTAAATCCAGACAACACTACATTCCATTTAGTTCGAAATATATAGCCTGAAAATAGTCTAAAATGTATTGTATTACAAACTCGAATCCTTAAATAAACTTAACATCTTGTTAAAGTATTTCTTCCACCGCGATTTCAAGTAAAAAATAATAGAAAAATTCCTGCAAAAACTAAATTCACAACAGTTAAACAAATAACTCAACTGATGTAATACTAAATTCAATAAGCAGATAAATTACCTCAGTGTTGATTGGGAGAGAGGTTTATTGGAAGCAACGCCGAACCGAGAGCGACCAGCTTTAGCTTCCGAGCCGAGACGGAACGCAGCGCGACGACCCGAACATGAACGGAGTATCGATCTGGCAGCGGCGCCGGCGGTCGATGCCATTTCGTTGTCGGAAAAATTTTAGGGTTAACTTTCGATCCACACACTCCCACACTGGTAGGGTTCTACAACACTAAAACCCCGCTTAACGCATCTGCTCATGAACCCCCAAAACTCAATGACTTTTTAAAATCTGGGCTTTTTCAAATATGGGCTTTACTAAGTCCAAACATGGGAAGGTGTTACAATTAATAAGTCTAACAGAATAAATATATGTATATAATACAAAATATACTAAATATCCATTCTTTTATCACATATGAGATTATATTTAAATAATTATACCGTGTTTGTGAGAATATGCATATTTTTGTATACTGATATAAATAATAGATAACCATTAAAATTAACATATGTCTACTTTTAGTTTGTTTTCTATATTTTCTGTGACTTGTTTTTATTAAAGTTTAATGATAAATTTTGAAAAAATAAATCAAGACTTAAAAAAAATGCTAAAAATGATATTTTTAATAAAAGGGCATAATCCAATTGTGGTACACACTTTTAATAATCTGTTACTTGAGAGACTTTAATTCACAAAAATATAATTATCCTTTATTAACTAGGACAAAAATATTGGTAATTTAGTTGAGGTCCAAGTGTTTCCAATTCATGTTAAAATATAATATTTTATTTGATATTTATACTGATTTAGTTGATGATAACGAAATTATATTTTCAATCAATTTTAATGATTTGTATATTAAAATAAAATTTATAGAAGTTAATTAATGTTAATAGAAGTTATTTTTTTATATTTTAAAATAATTATCTTTTGTCAACGTTTTATGCTTTTTTTTCTTAGTAAATTTCTTGATTTATATAATTAAAAGGTTTTAATTCAATGTTAATAAACGTCATTTTTTAATTAAAGTTATTATTGATATAGATTAAAATCATTTTTGTGGTTACAAATTATTATAATAATTTTCTCCATATTTAGAATGTATATATCTTTCATATTTAAGAAAATTTAAGAAAACCATAGAATCTTGATCTATTAACAGATGGAATACTGTTTTCTAATGATATTAAAAAAATAGTATTTTAAATAAATTCCTAGAAGTCTAGGATATGTTTAAGAAGAAATGTAAAAACATATCTACAATTTCGAATNACAAACTATATTCTAGAGAAACCCTCACAAAAAAGTTGAATGGTATTTATCTTTTTTTTTAATGTATGAGAAAGCTAATATAGTTTTATATAAACTTGGAACCTACAAAAATTATGCCAACCAGGCAATGCTACGCAATGTGCATGAACTTTGAACAATATGATTCACAAACAGGAGACAAATATTATTTTCTAGAACACAGTAAACTAAAAATCCAGCTTCATGACATTCATCATGTCAACTTTAAAGAATCCAAGGGCAACATGTTTTTTTTTTGGGACAGAAATCTAGCAGTTCTTCCTAATAAGATTTTTTTTTGTTTAAAGCCCAACATCAAAAGAGATCCATGTCATCCCAACCCTGCTTCTTGATCTTCAAATAGTCTTCTCTTGGCCTACAAACAAAAGGAGTACGTACGGCTTCACTAAACGATTTAGTTGCAGTGGGGAAAGTAGAAGATTCAGGGAATAACTTTTCCATCAATCTTAGGTACACAGGACTAATATTTACATAATGATAAGATCAAACATCATGTAGATAGATGGACCGCCTTTTTCTATTAATATGAAGAATTATATGCCATACGTTTTTTCAAAGCATTACACATAAAATCTGACAAAACTACCTTTTTTTAACCCAAAAACTGAAAAGAAACACTAACTTACCCGTAAATTAAATTGAAGAAAGAACACAAGGAATCCTACAGATGTTTAGCTACCTAATTCAAAAGTAAAATCCAACTGTCAGGCAATTAAAATGATCACAGACTTGGCGACCCAAAGTGTGGAAGCACATAACATACTACTCTCCGCAGTCCCAATAAATTTTTCTAAACATGAGCTGTAAACGTCCCCCCTCTCCTCTAACAAGAACACTTGGTAAACTCTCATATCAAAGCCAACCGACAGGAGAAAAAGAAAATAGTTTTGAACATTAAGAATGCTAAACAGATCATATAATGCTGCACACAGAAATCTTCAAAAACATTTCCACTTACCAATACCATTAAGTAAACAAATGCAAATAAACTTAATCTTTCATTCCAAAATGATTCATTACAATGCAGTAGAAGCAGAGACTATACCTTCAGGAAGCCAACCGTAGCTGCGACGAGACACAGAGAGCATTGAAGTCATCAAAGCGGAAGCAGTTGCCATGTGGTACGGCAGCATGGATTCCACACAAAAGCTCAATTCAACGGGAAACCTTCTCCCACAAAATCACATCGATTCATTATTTCATTTCCAGCATTAACATATCAAACCAAATAACAAAAAATTCATCACTGATACGCACAAAAGTAAATCCAGACAACACTACAGTCCATTTAGTTCGAAATATATAGCCTGAAAATAGTCTAAAATGTATTGTATTACAAACTCGAATCCTTAAATAAACTTAACATCTTGTTAAAGTATTTCTTCCACCGCGATTTCAAGTAAAAAATAATAGAAAAATTCCTGCAAAAACTAAATTCACAACAGTTAAACAAATAACTCAACTGATGTAATACTAAATTCAATAAGCAGATAAATTACCTCAGTGTTGATTGGGAGAGAGGTTTATTGGAAGCAACGCCGAACCGAGAGCGACCAGCTTTAGCTTCCGAGCCGAGACGGAACGCAGCGCGACGACCCGAACATGAACGGAGTATCGATCTGGCAGCGGCGCCGGCGGTCGATGCCATTTCGTTGTCGGAAAAATTTTAGGGTTAACTTTCGATCCACACACTCCCACACTGGTAGGGTTCTACAACACTAAAACCCCGCTTAACGCATCTGCTCATGAACCCCCAAAACTCAATGACTTTTTAAAATCTGGGCTTTTTCAAATATGGGCTTTACTAAGTCCAAACATGGGAAGGTGTTACAATTAATAAGTCTAACAGAATAAATATATGTATATAATACAAAATATACTAAATATCCATTCTTTTATCACATATGAGATTATATTTAAATAATTATACCGTGTTTGTGAGAATATGCATATTTTTGTATACTGATATAAATAATAGATAACCATTAAAATTAACATATGTCTACTTTTAGTTTGTTTTCTATATTTTCTGTGACTTGTTTTTATTAAAGTTTAATGATAAATTTTGAAAAAATAAATCAAGACTTAAAAAAAATGCTAAAAATGATATTTTTAATAAAAGGGCATAATCCAACTGTGGTACACACTTTTAATAATCTGTTACTTGAGAGACTTTAATTCACAAAAATATAATTATCCTTTATTAACTAGGACAAAAATATTGGTAATTTAGTTGAGGTCCAAGTGTTTCCAATTCATGTTAAAATATAATATTTTATTTGATATTTATACTGATTTAGTTGATGATAACGAAATTATATTTTCAATCAATTTTAATGATTTGTATATTAAAATAAAATTTATAGAAGTTAATTAATGTTAATAGAAGTTATTTTTTTATATTTTAAAATAATTATCTTTTGTCAACGTTTTATGCTTTTTTTTCTTAGTAAATTTCTTGATTTATATAATTAAAAGGTTTTAATTCAATGTTAATAAACGTCATTTTTTAATTAAAGTTATTATTGATATAGATTAAAATCATTTTTGTGGTTACAAATTATTATAATAATTTTCTCCATATTTAGAATGTATATATCTTTCATATTTAAGAAAATTTAAGAAAACCATAGAATCTTGATCTATTAACAGATGGAATACTGTTTTCTAATGATATTAAAAAAATAGTATTTTAAATAAATTCCTAGAAGTCTAGGATATGTTTAAGAAGAAATGTAAAAACATATCTACAATTTCGAATCTATATATATATATATATATATATATATATATATATATAATCTAATTAAGCAAAACGCACAACAAAGATAGAATAAGTAGTATTAAAAGATTTTGTACAATGTAATTATATTTTATTGGTTAATTTTTAAAATTAAAACACTTTATTTAAAGTAGTAAAATAATAAAAATACATACGTCATGTGTGTTTATTTTAATGATAATAAAAGATAATAACTTATAATTAGAAAAGTGAATGTAAATATTTTTTAAATTTTATTTTAGATTTTTTTTGTCTCTTTTGTAAGTAATATTTTATTATAAAAATTTATTTTAGTTTTAAAAAATAGTTAATTTTTGTTAAAAGTTTAAAAAAGAGTAACATAAATAATAGATTTAGTAAATAAGTACTTGTTAAAAGATAAACTTGAAAAAAAAAGATGCGTATACTAATAAAATAATTATCTTCATTTAATAGTATAAATCTAAATAGAAATTTAATAAATTTAAATTATGTTATCAAAATAAAATATTTGAAAATTATTATACTATCTAAATTTTAAGAAAAGTATAAAATTCTGTTTCCACCAAGCCTGTGAAAGGAAATCGGATCCAACATTTCGGGTCAAACCATTTGGGTTAAATGTTGATTTTTTGAGCTTTTCTTCTCTGCCCTAGTGGTTTTCTCTGCAGAAATTTCTTGCTGGATAATAGCATGGCGTTGTTATTCAAGGTACTTCTTACACTGCACCCGTAAATGCGTATCTGATTCAAAAGTTCAGTCTTTTTTATTTTATTCTCTAATTTTCTACTCCGGTGAGTGTTGTAGGATCCGTCGAAGCTTTCGGCGTATCGAGACCGAAGATTTCCCGGAACGCAAGAGGATTTTGAGCATGCCCTTCAGACTTCATCCACGGTTTACGTTGGGAACATGTCCTTTTACACAACGGAGGAGCAAGTTTACGAACTCTTCTCTCGCGCTGGGGAAATCAAGAAGATCATTATGGGTTTGGACAAGAACACCAAAACACCCTGTGGCTTCTGTTTCGTTTTGTGAGTATCCATTTCACTGTTAGTTGCAGCTATTCTGTATTAGTTGATGGTTCTTTATGTGAGTGTTTGGATGAATGTATTATTTGACAGATATTATTCTCGTGAAGATACTGAGGATGCTTGCAAATACATAAGTGGGACGATACTGGATGATCGTCTTATTCGTGTTGATTTTGATTGGGGGTTCCAGGATGGAAGACAATGGGGTCGTGGGAGGAGTGGTGGCCAGGTGAACGTCTAGTGTGTCTCTGGTTCTGTGGTTATACTTTTTGTTACTTGGCTAATTGTAAATGCTTCTGTTCATTTGTGCAGGTCCGGGACGAGTATCGTACTGATTATGATCCTGATATCCTTTTAATTGTTTAGTATTGATTTGTCTGCTATTTGGTTTCTTGTGTGATTTGTTGTTTGTTTGATTTTCTGTACTACATAAATGTGGTAATTCTTGATGGTCAAAATACTGTAAGAATACCAACATGGGTGTGGCAATATCGAAAATAACTTTCTTAAAGCATGTGGTAAAGGGTTTGATTATTAGGTCATGTGTATAGAAGAGTAGTCCCTTAGATGAATTTGAGCATCTTTAAAAAGATTAGTCTTTGACTTTCATCCATTATATATCCCCAGTTCAACAAAAAGGAAAAGATACAATAATTTGCCTAGTTCATGACTAATATGTGTAATAGGTGTATTTAATCTGGTTTCCCTAGTTATTATAAACTTCTCTAGTTTTGTATGCTTACATGATGGAGAATGCATTAGTTCTGCTATGTTTACAGTGGATTCTACTATATATGGAGTTATGAATACTCTCATACCTTCAGTTAATCTTGAACTGGAAATTTTACTGCAAAATTATTCCTGAAGAATGTTATATACTAGTTTGTATGTGCTGTTGGAGTTAAGTCTCCTTTTAGTTTCCTTAATTCTACATACGTAGAGGAGGTTATGGGAAGCTGGTCCAGAAAGAGTTAGAAGTACAAAGGCAGCTTGTAGATTATGGCACTGGTTCTTTGGGTTCCTTTCCACCAGTTATTCCTAGTTCCTGTAAGTGACTTCAAACTATAGTTTGCACAGGTCCTCAGCCATTAGGAGCTGATATCACTGAAAGTTTAATTGAAATATATATTTTTCATTTAGTTTGGTCTTTGTATTGCTAAATTATGCAGGACTTAAAACTTACTGGTTTTTAAAGATATAACTGCAGAATGTTGCTATGTTGTCTGCTTGGAAAATGAAAATAATTCAAAATCATCCCTCTTCTGCATATGATAACAAAATACCATTGATTAGGAGGGTAAAAAATTTAATCAGAAGTGGACACATGGCTGCAGTATTGGGAAGATTTTGTATGTGTATATAGTAGATATAGTTGTCAATAATAGCACCAAATAGCAGCACTTTGCAGAGTCATGCTGCAGAGTGGCTGGAGCATGCTACAACCGTTGAATAGTGTCACACTTTGCAGGAGCTGCTATGAGGCTTCAAAAACTGACAAACTAGCGCAAAAACTATCTGAGTGGGTCACAGAAACCTATTTGAACCGTGGAACATTACTGAAAATATTTCCAACATCTCCAAGCATTTTTTTCCCAACTGTGAAAGTTGAATCCCCACTCCCTACCCTTTTCTCTACATTGTTTCTGATCCCTTGAACCTCTGGCCATTTCCTAGCAAAATTAGTGTTTGGTTCTGTCACCTATATAACTAGCTTTCAAGGGTTGATTCCTCAAGTGTTTGGGCACTTATCAATGACATAGTCAAGTAATAAGTGTTCTAACTGGAATGTGTGTCTTTTTATGGTTTAATGTTTTTACTCATTGGGCCATGCCTCTGTTTTCATTGCTAGTTGGGCCTAACATTCTAGAGATCTGTTAATTTTCAACATGAAGCAATTTGCAAAAATGGATACTTCAATTGCCAATATCATCCTACTGTCTTTTTCTTCTAATGATTAATGTTCAGTACAGCCATATAAATGAGAAATTCAAATTCAGTGTGGAGAACTAAGTTGGGTAGCAACTAACTGTCTCTCTCAAGGTAGCAACATAATGGTTTGCCTGTTGAGAATAGTGTGAATTAAAAAGATATCAACGAATTTTTTCCCTCGTTTTGGTGCTTTTTTTTTTTACCGGAATATACTTCTTTTTGATCTTAGTGGTCCTTGGCATATTTTCGTTCAATATCCAATTAGACATTTCCTTCAATTTAGATACCATATATACTTTAAATCTGAAGAAAATACTCCCATTCAGGTGAGGATACCAGCTGCGTTAGTCATATTGGAACCAGCCTTCCCTTGTTCTGTTCACTGCCTTTTCTGCTACCTGATTTCCTTGTTCATTATGTAATTTCTGGTGATCATCATTTGCTTTGAGTATGTATTCATGTGAATTAAACCTTCACCAATTTTACTCTTGCAGATGGTAGACACGGTGGAGGTCATGGGCATGGACACGGTCATGGTGGTTCTCATCGGCACGGTAGAGGTAGTTTCACACTTTCATCTCAAGGCCACAGATTTTTTTTTTGGAAGCACTTAGACCTGATGCTGTCAGTGTTTTACCAATTAATTTACTGCTGATATAAATTTCTTTTGCCTCTTCGACTTGATAGATTACTATAGAAAGAGACACCGAGATGATGATCGCCACACACACGAGTCCTCAAAAAGAACTTCAGATCACGATTCTCGGAGGAACACTGATCATGAATCTAGACCGGTATTGATTCTCTACAATCTGAATGATACTTAAGACAGACCTAATCACATAAATTATTTTACAATAATTCTTATTGCTATACTTCTATCGTGTTACATTGGTGCATTAGGTTGTCGAGCATACTTCAATTGAAGGCACGATGTTTGTATTATCATATATTCTCGTAGTTTTTGTCATTAAATTTGTTTCTTATCGATTACTTGATTCGATGTGGCAGGAAAAAAATCCACGGTTTCGTGAGAGTGGTGA